TACGGGCGGAACTTTTGTATAGTTCATACGACCCCCAAGCATTCGCGCTCCGTGGCAGAGTAATTTTGCTCCGCCGGTTTAAGGACTCTGCTAGCGTACTCGATGATTCGGTCTTCGTTTCATACTCTTTGAATCAGGACGGCTCCGATCCCCGTAGCGCTAGCGTCTGTTTCCAAAACGTACTGCCCGTCGGGTTCCGGTAATCCGAGGCACGGTGCGGATATCATGAGTGCCTTAAGTTTGGCCTTCGCCAAACTTAAGGCCTTCTTTTTGGTTCTTGGTTCTTGGTCTGATCTCCACAAGTATTCGAATTTTTTTCCCGTTAGTCTCGTTAACGGTTGAGCGTGCGTGGCGAAGTCACTAAAGAATCGGCGGTACCATGAACCAACCCCCAGGAAAGTACGCAGCTGTCGCACATTTCCTGGTCGGGGGTACTCCACGATAGAGCGCACCTTTTCAGGTTCGGGCCTGATACCCTCGCGGTCAATCAACAAATCCAGATATTTAGCCTCCGGCTTGCAGAAGACGCTCTTCTCTAGATTAATCGAGAGTCCCGCCCGACATAACCTATCCAATACGGTTTTAAGATGTTGTAGGTGATCTTCGAATTTGGACGATACCACGATGATATCGTCCAAATAGGCGAAGGCGAAATCGCTAAGCTCAGGTCCGATCACGCTATCTATTAACCGTTGGAAGGTGGCGCCGGCGTACGAGAGACCGAATGGCATTCGTACGAACTGGAAATGCCCCAATCCGGGTACGGTAAAGGCAGTGATAGGTCGAGATTCGGGTTTGAGTGGTATTTGGTGATACGCGCTACTGAGGTCGAGTGTGAAGATATAGCGTGCGTTTCGTAAGCACCTCAATATATCTTGCATAAACGGTAGCGGATACGCGTTTGCCTCGGTGACCTTGTTGACCTTCCTGAAGTCTATACAAAATCGATACGAACCATCCTTCTTGCGTATCATAACTACTGGGCTCGAACATCCGCTATCCGCCGGCTCGAACACCCCTTGGTCTAACATTTCCCTTACCAACCTGTGCATTTCTTGCTCGACCTTGTGCGACACTGGATAGTAGCGCTGCTTGATCGGTTTCGTATCACCGACCCGAATCTCGTGTTCAATGCCTTCCGCACATCCTAGTCCTACGGGAGTCTGCGATAAGGTCTTGCTGATGGTCCTCTGCAATATCGCCTGTTGAGAGGCTGTTACCTCGGCTAGTCCGATCGTAGCTAATCTCGTACCAGCCTCTAAACTAGCTACCTCTAGCTTCATCTTGGTTTGTGATTTCTGGAGCAGTAACATATCATCGTCAGAGTCAAGTACCGCTCAAAACAATCTAACGAAATTCACTCATAGGATATATTTATCGACGAGGGTTGGGAGTATTGCTACCCTCGTCGCCATCGTCATATCTCCCACGGTGAACGGCAACATGGCGTGGCCAACGATTGTCAACTTACGGCCATCTGGTAGTCCTGCTGTACCCGCGTGGGTGGTATCCAACCTGATGCCTAGCACAGACGCTATCTGTAGAGCATTACTACCCATTTCTGTGATGAAAGCTCCCGGATCATAGAGAGCCCTTATCTGGAAGTCTCCTATTTTCACCGATAGCCACCAGCGCGTTTCTTGTTCCGGGGAATATAGCGAAACAGATTCAACGGTTCCACAGCCTTGCTCTATGCATTCCATAGCGCTACCCACTGTGCTCTCGCGTGGTAAAGTGACGTCACTTGTCGTTCGAACCACTTCGGTTCGGACTATTGGGGTCCCATGGGAGTACAACTTGATGGTTTATCTGCCGTTACCATCGCCCCCGGGGGCGTGGGCGATTCATTCGCCACCACCTCGGCCGGTCTTTGGTCTTGGGCTTTACTAACATCAATACCCTCTTTCTCCGCGTTCACTTTACCGACGCTTTCATCATTGGCATAACCAGGGACATTCTCGCTCTCGTCGTCCAACACACTCGCTACTATTGCTACTGACTATGTTGGCGAAGGCCGCGAGATTTCGTTTACGGGGTTTGTTTTAGGGGACAAAGGAGTGGGGTCAACCCCACCTAACCACTCCTATCCTCGTTTCCCTTATTACATTGAGGACAGTACTTTTTGCTGTATCCCAATAATCCGCACTCGATACACTTGAGTGGCTTAGAGAAGTCTCTCTCCCGCTTTCGAGGAGCTTCTGGCTTCTTGGTGCGGTCCTCCGATGTCAAGTCAAACGAAATTATACTTCATCCCTTTCGACATTTCCTTGAGGGATACTAGCACTTGGCTTAGTATATCGGCGGGTGGAGCCTTCTTCTCGCCATCAACTGCCTCGAGGCTTGGACCAGGCGTCGCCCCCCGTGGCGTCGGTGTGTAGATGACCTGGTGCGTTACCTTCTCAAGCACTTTCTCCATACGATCTAACTTGTCGCTGACCTCCGGCTTATCGCTGGACATCGCTGCCACTTTACTCTTGCGGCCCTTGCTTCCATCAGCGCGAGGGTGGTGCGCTAACTCCGGGTATAGAGGTGACCACCCGTTCTGCCCTGCTCTGGTGCAAGCTGTTTTGTACCGCCATGGCTAGCGCTGTCAAGGTTCGTATGGACCTCACCTCGGACCTACGCACTTGGCCCTGAATGTCCGGGAGGAGGTTAGCGTGCAACAGGTTTAATTGGCATTCAGGCGCCATCTGGGGGTATAGTCGCTTCATCAGGCCCATCATGTTGGCGATGTCAAATATAGAGGTTCCCATTAAAAAAATTTCTTTGATCTCCAAATGACTTTACAATTAAAGTTCCAGATCAAAACTAAATTTACAGTTAAACGGGTCCCTTCGACCGCGACATCTTTTGTTTTAACTATTTTTTTATCGATTATTTTCAAAGATATTTGAGTGGATCGATTAAAATGGGCCACCCTCTATATGGAATACATATAATAGAAATTCTAACATTTTTATAATAAATTCTTATTGACTAATGTAACGGTCCAGTTTGATTTGCTACTTCACATGTATGCCTAAATGTATTAGGGCAGTTATCAAAAATCAAAAATCAATATAAAGAGCGTGACGTTACAAGCGTGGGAAATGTATTGTTTGCGATGTAAAATCAATGATTGCAAAGTTTTTTTAACGATCAAAAACATTTTTTCAGTCAATTTTCATGCAAAAATCTGAAATCTTGAGTTATTATAATTATTCAATACGTATTTGTTAACTTAATATAATTTGCAACTAAATATCGCTAGTAGTTTTGCAGTAAATAAATATGATGCGAATTTGAATATATAACAGCGATCCTAGCACTTTAAGAAAGAGAATCAAGAATTTGACAGTTGATAACTAATTTTTAACTGAGTTATGAATAAATAAAAATAGTTATAATTTATTTAAGCAATTAAAATTGCGTTGCGAGCTAGCGATTCAACTGTACATACATATAAAATTACTGATAACGTTTTCAACCCGTTTGTTGATTTTATGATGGCAAAAAGAATAATTTGCGAATTAATCATTTAATTATTATTGGAAAACTGTTTGTTAAATTAGTGATTTTTATTTTAAATAATTTTCCCCATATCACGAGTGATTTTTTTATGTAAAATTTATCTGTAAAATTATTGTAAATTTGGTGTTAACCACTTATCTAACTTTAATCGCTTATAACTTTAAGATGCGATTTTTCCTTGAAAAACGGTTTATCCTAAAAATTTGTCATCTTCGAATTGATTTTTTAAGTCACCAACTTTTCGAGTGAGGTATTTCCCGACAAAACCTGTTCAAAAATTGTGCGAATGTCAATAGAGCTTCGCAGTGTCAACCAAGCGTAAAAAAAGGAGCCTCTTTCACGAGTATAAATTCGCTCGTCGCTGCAGCAAGAGGACTTACGATCCTGCCTTGCTTGACAGCGCGAGCACTGTTTGAAATTAAGACTCAGCTATTTCCTGAGATCAAATTTCATTATTCAGTGGTTCACTCTGCTATTTCCTTTCATCTAAGATAATCTAATAGCTTAACTCGTAAACTCTCTCTCTTATGAGAAAAAAGCAACCTTAAACTATCTCCTTTTATCTTTATCTTAGACTATCTGTCAACAAAATTAATATTGCCTAGAGATTGGACTAAGTATTCGTTGCGGCGCTGTCGGACATTTCCTCAATAGATACTACAGTACTTAGTTGTATTATTTCCAACGGCCTGTCGAAGCAGCGAACTACGCGGAAACAATATCAATCACAAAGTACCTTTACGTGTCAACTTCTTTCTTGTTGTCGGAAACACGATTATAAATATATCTTAGATTCCGAACTATATATTTACATAACGTAGGATAAAGATCAAACGTTACACTAATAATGTTTTGGAAGATTATTTTCAATTCTCAATGCTTCTATTGTAATGTTTTTTTTGTATCATATTGTGTCCATGCCATAATTTTCGATACTTTTTCATGTACTGTCTTCCTATTTATTTTTTTCTATATTTAATTGTGCAGTAGATTGGTATAGTTTCGTTGAGCTTACCATATAATAGAGGATAAGCTCTGGTTCGGGTGATCATGGGAGACAACAAAAGAATTTATTAAGATTTAATTGGACTTCCCGAATTATATTTTGCGTACTAACTCATTCATATTATAAAAATTTCTATATAGTGACACACTCTTGCAGCTACTTTAACATTATGGCGGCAGTTTTAATGATTAATCAAACTAGGAAGCACGGACTTAATCACATTGCGAGGCTTTGAGGTTCATAATGCCATGATTGCGATTTTATTCCATTTTTAATCTTCATAAGAAAGCTATGAAATTCACCTGTATGAGAATTATATCCTAGGTACTACGATTATTATAGTTATCATGGTTATTGTTTCGTATACATATTAAATATTGTGCGTACATGTGAAAGAAGAAAACTATTGTAAAAAATTAGAATTATACTTATTTTGCTTAAGTCCTTGAATCTTTGTAACAATGAATCATTTATTTTTCAACAGGGATGGTGATTTTGAACGAGCATCTAAAGTATTCCTCACAACAGATTTACTTGGACAAGTCTATTTCTGTTATCTAATTAGAAATCAATCTCGTCTTTTTTTAGCAAGAATAGAAAAATCTAATGATCCTAATCAAATTATTTTAGGGATGCTTTATTCAGTAACAGCTAAAGATGCAATCAGTTTACAGGTATTCTATTGATATTTATTTTTTATCATATCTGAGGCCAGTATTATAACATAGTTTATTCTATTAATAATTAATGAAATGCAGTGCCGATGAATAGCTGTCACCCACCAAAAAAAATTTGTCACAAATGTAAAGTCCTATATTTATGTGATAAATGAATATACCGATACTAGTAATTAAAAATTTGATTTTCTCAATTGAATAAAGCAATACCTTTCATATTCCGTTAGCTTTCTATTAAAAATTGCGTTTTTTACATTAATAAATCGAATCATTTTTTTCTATTTTTTATCCCTCATAAAAAATATGTTCTAACTTTCGAAAAAGTAAATCTGTTTTTTTTTTTAAATAGGTAGAATAGATGTACATTTGTTTCCTCTTTAAAATGAGCTCGAAGGATCCTTTCTTATCGAATCAATAAAAAGTTCATTTGTGTTAATAAATCACTTTTTTCAAGTTTGATTATCTTCGGACATATATACTATGAAAAAAAACTTCAAAGAGAAAAAATGTTTGCTTTTGCATGTGGAATAAATATTTACTAAAAAGAATTAAGTTTTGGAAAAAAAAACTATTTTTGTTTTTAACGTCCATTATAGACGGATCTAGAAAAGTTTGAATTTTGGTAATGTTAGTATTGAGTGGGAACTAACTTATGTACGCAACTATAAATCAAAATTTTCATATATTTTTGCTTTAACTATAGCAACAAAAAATTTATCTTCTATTAGTGAATCATCACAGGAAATTGTTACGCTCTAAAATCGCAGCTCTAAACACTCAATACACGCGTCTATCTGATACCTACGTACCTTAGTACGAGTGAGACGACTATTTAGAGAGAGTAATAAGGTAGGAAAGGGCGCAAGTAAAAGTAAAATGACCGGCTCAAAAAAATGAGTGTTAAAGAGAGAATAATATGAGATGGCTAATAATTAGAATAGGCGTATACGTGGAAAGAATGATGAACTTATGCTTTTCGTTTGATGAATTAGAAACTGTCGGAGTGATGAATGGAATAATTATGCGTTATTATGACTAATCAGTATTGAAATTACGTGGAAAACAGCGCTGATAATTTAATAATGACACCCATGGCCAACAAACTCGAAAGAGATAGAGAGAGAAATTGACGTACAAACGATAAGTCACTGCGCTTTACTATTACCTACTTCCTGCTAATCACGTTATGAGCTGACATTTTCTCTTATGTTCCGAGCAAAGACAAGATGAGACATTTTATATGCACAGGAGGATGGCTGAAACTTCTGAGAGGTGATGAGATTTTCCCTTCTTTGAAAGTAAACGAAGAAGTAGTGAGTACCATCGGTGAGTTGTAGTCGTGACCAAATCTGCGCGAATCAACCGTTTCCGATTTCTACTGTGATCGACCCGACTTGTAATTTTTGGGACTGTGGATTGTGATTACGTCGCGAAGCGCCTAACGTAGAGAAGACGAGTCAGATGTTACAGGAAATAATATTAGATTGTTTGATTGTGGGTATAAATCATGTAAACAATCGACGTCTTAGTGATCTCACGAGTCAGGCCAAGGGAACAGTAAGGGGTTTGAACCTCGGATTGTTTGAAAATTCCCAGACGTACTCTAATTTACAACATAAATAAAGTTCTCAAGCATGGTACTATTGTTTATAGAGATAGATGAGACAATCTAACAGTGACTCCTAAGCTAAATAATGAATTTATAGTAAGCTACTCTTGATCCCTTGATCCTCTACTATATACGAGTTCCTAGATTAATGATTATTGCTAGATACTAGACTATGGATCAAATTAGTTTACAAATTAGTTTACATAGGAATCATTTAAATGTTATTTGTTATTTGAATAATAATATTATATAAACATTACACATTTGTAAATCGATATGTTATTACAGTCTATTTACTGAATGGGTATGAGTAATCCTATGACTACATTTCATATATATTACATATAAGTAAACCGATATAAAAAATTTATTATATACAAAAATTTTTTTCATATAAATATTTTTATAACACTCGCTGATTATACATGCAGCTTTTCCGAACGGTTTCATTCATCATGAGATCAAGCCACGGTGAAAACTGAATTAATGATTTGATAAAGTGAACTGTCAGTAATATTGGATGATGCCCAACGCTGCTTTACTTAATGATTGACTTTATAAGCTTTGGTTACTGAAGTGACCTAGCATAAGAAACACAATTCTGATATATAGTCTTGATATCTTGTCTTTCCGCACTGTAACTTTCGTAGTCTAGTATCTAGAAATAGTCATTTATCTAGGAACTCGTATCTAGTAGAAGATCGAGGGGTTAAGTAGCTTGCTAGTTGCAAGAGAGTCGGGGGCTCCTTCTTTGGAACAGTTCGAAGAACTGAACTGAAAGGGTTAGTCCATCGATTTTTATAATTCCGCTTTTTTATCAGGAGCGCTCTTGCTCTCTCCTAAGGCTCTTGTCTTAGAGGGTAAAAATCATCCAGTGGTAGCGTAGCTAACAAGATATACCAACGACGTCATGGCGATGTTGTTAAACACTTAGTTTCTTATTGAAATTAATGCTAATTAGAGAAAAAATGTAATGTCAGATTTGGCCAGTGTAACGAGTAATAATGTAGAAACTTCTTTTACATTCCCAGATGATATTATTAACAAAATGTAGCGTATTAAACAACCAACTATAATAAAATTAGATTCAAGGTATCAAAATATTTTGTTGTCGAAGCAAAAACAAAAAAGCCAATGAACCAAACAGATATATACTCGATCATTGGCGATTCAAAGACGTATGAACACTCGTATCTTTCGAGATATTTAAAATTGTTAAAAATAATTGTTTTGGGCGAAAAATTCATTGCACGCTATGTATTTAAGAAATTAAAATGTCTAACAAGTGTTTCGTATTACGCTCGAAAATAGCTGCAAAATGATTGTTGTGACAATGTGTATATAATTGTTTGAGTGTGAAATTGAGAGTATAAAGAATTGATGATAAATAAAAAAAAAAGAAATTTCAGACTGAAGATAAAAATACATCTATCTCGTACGACTTTATAAATAATTCTTGAAGTGTTTTTATATATTTTATAAATACTTTAATAATTATGTATTGTAACGGGGGAGATAAATCTGAAAATGAGAAATTTATTTAAGAACAAACTCCCACGATGCAGAGCAAACCGCCGCTCTATTAAACACGTATGATAGTACGTGTATTCGCCTTAACGTCAGATGATTTATCCTAGTTGTCTTCTATCGAACGGAGTTGAACTCACCTTAAGTCACGTGTTTTGTGACACTTGATGAGTTTTAAGTGTGAGCGACTTTACTCCTAATCTTCTTAATCCCCTAGATGTAATTGGATTAAAACCTAAGCCTTTTTCAATTACTTAAGCTACTAGGAAAATTAAATGACGAAAATCGGCGAATAAATTTAACAGACTTTAATTAATAAAAATCACTACAGTCTTTGTAGGGCCGAAAGACTAACGTACGCGAATAGGATTTTACAATTAGTATTATTCGGTGAGAAAGAGAGAGAGAGAAGATTCTAATATTACCGCGAACTAACGCTCGGCGCGAATATACAAAATATGGCTATCTCAAATATACAAAATACCGAAAGTATTTTGTATCGCTTAAAATGACGGGAGGTGCACCTACCATGCGGTGCAATTACGGTGATCAGCCGTAATTGTTGTTGTAAAATTTTAACTGCCGCTGCTCCTCAATTATCAGCTGCTCCGCCTTATATTTCCTCTATCAGCTATTATCTACTGCTTCTATACCGCTGCTTTCTGCTGCAATATCGTCGTTGCACACCCGCACGTATTTGTCCCAGAGAAAACTATTTATTTTTGCGAATGAAAGTGCAAAACACAAATCGGCGGTAAACTCGTGTAAACAGCTGAGGCGTAACTGCTTATCCAAATGATCGCGCGCCCCCTCTCTCTCTCAATAAGTCGAACTAACGCGCGAGAAGCAGAATCGCGAACTGTTCGATTAATTAAATCGACTACCGTTGCAGTATTCGAAATTTTTGTCCGATTGTTTTTCACTATACAGGCAGGAGTAAAATGTGACTAAAAAATGTTTTGAATTTTGAAAATTTAATTATTGTTAGGAAAAATTGAGAGAAATGTATTAATTTTGTATACACATCATTGGTAAATTTTTTTTCCATTTAGATACAAGACTTTGAAATTTTGCTCGCATGATTGAATTTTTTTTAAATCGTAATTTAGGAAAAGAGCCTGCTTGTAAAATTTTCTTAAATGCTAACCGCTAAAGAAACAAAAAATTTCTGTTATTTTAGCATGAGTGACCTATCGGTTTTAGCAGAAAAGCTCAAATTGTGCATTCAGCCGAGTTACAGACAAAGTCCCGAGCATTTCCCTATACCACGACACTGTTAAATTTTTCAAGGTCAAAGCTTCATTTTTAGGTGACTTAATACGAATTCTACGTCAGAATTCTATGATAACCTAAACTATTGAAGGTTTTTTAACCTAAAATTGTATAAAACATTACCTTTTGGTTACTTAAGAGTAATAGACACCAACATACGAGGTGTGTTCAAAAAGTAAGGTGACTTTGTATTTAAAAAAAAATATTTATTTATTTATCAATATTTATGTTGCCCCCTTCAAAGTAATCCCCCTCAGATACAATACACTTATGCCAACGGTTTTTCCAATCCTCAAAGCACTTCTCATAAGCACTTTTCGATATAGCCTTGAACTCTTCCAGCGATGCAGTCTATATCTCTTCAATCGTTGCAAATCTCCGTCCTTTCATAGGTCTCTTCAGTTTTGGGAACAAGAAAAAGTCACATGGGGCCAAATCCGGTGAATATGGTGGCTGAGGCATGATTGTGGTGTTGTTTTTGGCCAAAAAATCTCTCACAAGGAAAGATGAGTCAGCAGGGGCATTATCGTGATGCAAAAGCCATGAATTGTTTTTCCACAATTCTGGACGTTTTCTTCGTATTGCTTCT